GAAAGACGAATTTGGGTGTTTAATATCTTTATTTCTCCTTTTAAACATTTTTATTTATTTACTTCTTTTGGTGTTGGGGGTGTGGGACCTGGGGATTCATTCATGCTTGGCAAGCACTGGACCTCTGAGATGTATCCCGGTCCAAACGGTTCGAACCTCACACAAGCTATCATTTGCATATGGACAGCTTGATCTGACCCAAAGCTCACTCAGTCAGGGGAATTCTCAGGAAGCTCATGGGGCCTGACGTAGTTGTGCCTGACCTGGGGCTGTCAGCTGACATCTGTGGTTGGGCATGGCCCTACAAGTGTCATTAGGTATGGGGTTAAGGAAGTGTTAACCCCGAATGTGCTAACAGGTTCCCTTCAGGCCTCCTCATGCCCCCCACCCAGTGTGTCTTCTTCCTACCCCAGTCCTGAATGTGACCATGTGACACCCTGCTAGGTGCAAGCTAGGGTATGTCATTATAGAAAGAACAGGAAAGAGAGAGAAAAGATGAACTCTACCCGGAATGAAAACAGTAAATGAAGCTTTTGCATACATTATGGGTTGAACTTGCAAAGCTCTCATTCATGAGTGCTGGTACCCTCATGCCATACCACATATGCCTGCACAGAGAGACACAGATTTGTGCTAAACAAAAAACGTCACAGAGGCTGGGCTGTGACTCAGTGGCTCAGTGCCAGGCACTGGCTCCATTCCCAGCAGCTGGGGAAAAAACAAAGTCACCAGGAATAGAACCCAGAGGTTAAGTAAAGATGGAGTGACCCTTGACCTCCATGTTACTGATGAAGAAACTGAGTCTCAGATGGGGCTTTACTCAAGAAAATACCTCTAGCTGAGGAGATTTTTCAGTACACAATAACACTTCTTCACAAACCCAAGGATCTGATTTCAAATCCCCAGAGACACGGGCACCTTTATCTGTATTTCTAGTGCCCCTAAAGGAGATGGGAGATGGAGAAAGGAGGATTCTTGGAAGTCCTCAGGCTAGCCTGCTATACACAGAAGAAAATTAGCAAAGAGACTCTGTCTCAAAGTCTATTCAATCTCTATGGTAGTCTCATTGTACACACACATGCACACACACACACACGCACACACACACATGCTGGCATGTGCATATCGTGTACATACACATTAATAAATACAAAATATAAAAGAAAAGATGTATTATGTGCTGGACCCACGAGCAATGTGGGGGCAGGTAGGATAACATTTCCTACTGTTGTGGGTATGACTTCAACCCAAAGTCACAGTGAAGGGTTCTTTACCAGGGAGCCACCTCTGTCCTGTTTCATACGCCTGTCTGGAGGTGCTGCTGGTATGCTCTCTGAAGACCATGGAATTTCTACTCTAGGCTGTCTGGAGAGAGGAACAATATAAGAAAGACAGCGTCCTTGGCCCAGTTGGAGGCTGGGTAAGAGATGTGTGGAACAGCCTGCCTCCTGGAGACATTTTTAGTATCTACTTTTGGTCACGCCTGGTTTGGGTAGCTTGTTGGCAGGTATGCTTATGAATTGGCAGTTACCTCAGCAAATGTTTTTTGTTGACATTTTGTTAAAAAGACTGTCTTGTTCCCTTTCAGGGCTTCAGTCAGCCTGGTTTACAAGGCACAGACTGTGGTTTGGCTGCTATGGGGAAGTGGCTGGCTTAGGGACTACAGTCCAGGTGGCATGACCCGACAAATGCCAGTCCCTAAGCCCAGCCAGTACTTGGGTTTGGAAGTGTGAGGATTAGGAGTTCACTCTCAATACATGGTTGATTTGAGGCAATCTGGGCTATAAGAGACCCTTTTCAACAAACAAAACAAAAAACAAAAATTCTAAGCCAAATCACAACGTAATAACCAAACCAAATCAAAACACATTTGCTAAAGACCAGGACAGGAAGGAACAGTGCTGGGGTTTAACCCGTCTTTGAAGAAAGAAACCCATGAGACTGGAATGTGGTGACGGAGCAGGTTGTTAGTGTAACGGGGCCTTTCTCCCCCAGAGCAGGTTGTTAGTGTAACGGGGCCTTTCTCCCCTAGAGCAGGTTGTTAGTGTAACGGGGCCTTTCTCCCCCAGAGCAGGTTGTTAGTGTAACAGGGCTTTTCTCCCCCAGCTGTACTTGACCCAGGACCCTACGGTCCTACTCATCAAAGGCCAATCTGAGACAATGGCTTAAAATGAAGACGAGAGACTCAGACTCCGGATTTGATGACACAGTCCTTTAATCTCAGCAGAAGCAGGAGGAGCTATGTGAGGCCATTCTGGTCTACATAGAAAGTTCTAGGCCTGACCAGCCAGAGCTACATAGTAAGATCCTGTCTTAAAACAAAAGAAAACAAAACAAAACAAAGAATACATAGATCCCCTTTGGAGCATGGAAAGCATAAATAAACTTTATTTAAGAATTATAGGGTGCTGGAAAGATGGTCTAGGGGTTAAGAATGCTTCCTGAAAGACCTGCATTCAGTTCCCAGCACCCACATTGGGTGGCTCACAGCTGTCTGTCATTCCAGCTCCAGGGGATCTGATGCCCTCTTCTGGTCTCTGTGGGTACTGCGCACATGTGGCAGGCACACATACACATTAAATAAAAATAAATCAAGAAAGAATTATAGAATCACAGGAAATTGAGGAAAAAAAGCAAGTGAAACTCCTGAGAGGAAGTGGCTTTCCAAGAGGGGAAAATGCTTGTGAAACTTCCTTCTCTAGAGTTTTTATAGGACCATGGCAGGAACTAGACAAAGGCTGAGGTAGTTGCTAATTGACTGGTTAGTTCTTTATGCTATGATGGACAGAGCCAACAGATACCCCACTTGCACCATGAATGCTCCCTGGATCGATGTTCTTGTTCCTAGCTGCTCACCCAGCTTGAGATGGTTGAAACTCCTTTCCATCCCTCTCTGACTCCAACTTTGTTAACTTTTGTTTTTCTTGGGACAGGTTCTTGCTATGTAGTCCTGGCTGTTTGAGAATACACTATGTAGACCAAGATGGCCTCAAGAGAACTAACTCACAGAGATCTAACTGCCTCTGCCTTCCAGGTGCTGGGATCAAAGGTGTGCACCATTATACCTGCAGTTTCTCTTATTTGAGTGGCCTAGAACTCATAGAGACCCCAGTGCTGGCATGAAAGGGGGGTGCGACCATGACTGGCTTATTCTAGTGTTTTGCCTGTGGCCCTGTATATGCACCACCTGCACACAGTGCCATAGGAAGATAGAAGAGGGTGTCAGATCCCCTGTGGGCTTTCATTTTCACACATGGGTCCACCCTAAACCAACCAAGAGTCAAGGACCTTGAACACAGGGCTGTGACCCAGAAGCACACACACACACACACACACACACACACACACACACACACGTTAGCTCTAACACCTTTGAGTTACATCCACCTCTGTTACAATTTGGTTTTAAAGAATCCAGACTAAGGAGTTTAGACATTATCCAGGCAACAAGGAGCCATGGTGTTTCCCTTTAAGCAACAGGGATGTGATGTGGCCAGAATGGGCCTATAGTTCAGGCTCTTGCTGCCTAGTGACAAAGGAAGGGCAGCCAAGATGGAGGCAGGAAGGGCAAGCCTGGGTGCTAGTGGAAGAGAAGAGGAAGCTGTCAGAAGGAACCTCAGTGACATCTGGATGTGAGCTGACAAGCAGGTGACCTCCACCATCTTTGAGGTTTCCCAGAGCTACACTAGGCAGAAGTGAGGCTAGGTGACTTCTGCAGCTAGCCCTATCAACCTGGGCTGTGTGATCCTCGGCAAATCCCCAAAGCTGTTTAGAGATGAGCTGTACAGTTGTGTGTGTGTGTGTGCGCGCGTGTGCTGGGTGGGGCCAGGCCCTGGGACTCTCTCTAGATATGGCTGCTGTGTAGGATTCTTACATATGAAGTGGAGAGGAGAAACTGTAGGACAGTCAGGATTAGGGCTCCTGGAACCCAGGGTCTTGTGCATGCTATGCAGATGCTCCTATACGCAGCTCCCAGACGAATGGCTTCAGCTTGTTTCCACATTCACAGCCCTTTCCAAAGCCCGTTTGTACCTGGGTTCTCACAGCAGTCCTGACAAAGTCAGCAAGCAGGCATCATCTTCATGGTCTCCGTTTGTTTTGAATTTATTTATTTTTAAAGATTTGTTTATTTGTATTTTATGTGTATATATGTATGGGTACCACCCGCATGTATAGTGCCTGCAGAGGCTAGAAGAGGGTGTTGGATCCCCTGGAATTACAGTTACAGATATTTGTGAGCTACCACATGGGTGCAGGGAATCAAACCTGGGTCTTCTGGAAGATCATCAGTGCTCTTAACCACAGAGGCATCTCCCCAGTCCATTTATTTTATGTGTATGAGTGTTTATATGCACATATGTGTACTGTGTGATGCCTGGTACTCACGGGGATCAGTAGGATCCCCTGGAACTGGAGTTACAGAGAACTCTCAACTGCTTATAGTGGATGTTGGGAATGGAACCTAGGTCCTCTGCAAGAGCAGTAAGTGCTTTTAACTGCCAAGCCATCTCTCCAGCTCATGGATGGAAAGGCTCAGGATGGAAAGTTACTTTTTGGAAGTTACACAACTACCAAGTCAGAAGCTAGGTGTGGCCGGGCGGTGGTGGTGCACGCCTTTGATCCCAGCACTTGGGAGGCAGAGGCAGGTGGATTTCTGAGTTTGAGGCCAGCCTGGTCTACCGAGTGAGTTCCAGGACCACCAGGACTACACAGAGAAACCCTGTCTTGAAAAACCAAAAAAAAAAAAAAAAAAGAAGAAAAAGAAGAAGAAGCTAGGTGTGTGTGTTTCAGAATGTCAGAGCCAAACCACATGACACTGTTATAGCCTGTCACCCCAGTGGGCATATGGGCAGGCCGTGACCCAGAGAAAACAACTCAGGAGGCACAGTCAGAATTTGTGCTGGAGGCAGGGTTGGACCTCAAGTCCCTGACTTCCAGACCTGCCTCTCCATAGCTTCCTGGTCGTGGAAAGTAACACCGTCTTCTATACCTTGTTCCAGGGAAGCCAGTTCCTGAGAGCACATCTCCCCTCCCAGCCTTCCCAGAGGCTGTGAAGCCAGAGCCTGTGGCTACTTCTAGAAGAAATCTCAAGGATGAACAGGAGAAGGGCCAGCCTATGAAGCCACACTCCTTTCTGGGCACAGGTGCTCCCCTTCTCTTCCTCCTCCTCTTCTGAGTTTTAGATTTATTCATTTTTATTTTATGTGTATGGGTGCTTTGCCTGACTGTGCATATGGACTACTTTCATACAGTGCCCTTGGAGGCAAAAGAGGCCATCAGATTCCCTGGGACTCCCTAGGGATCGTGGTGTAGCACTATGTGGGTGCTGGGATCAAACTCAGGTCCTCCTCAAGAGCAACCAGTGCTCTTAATTGTTGAGCCACCTTTTCAGACCTATAGGTATTATTTTTTCCTTTGGGGGACATGGTGTGTGTGTACATCAAAGCACATTGCACAGTGAGTTAGAAAAGGGGAAATATCTGGGTGTGGTGGTGTATGTGTGCAATCCCAGCTATGTGAGCATCTGAGGCAGGAGGATCTTGATTTCAACTATATTCTGGGCTATATAACTGGGTGGATGTAATCTGGCTTTACTCAGGAAGCTGAGGTCAGGGATCCCTGTAGCCCGTGGCAGAATGTCTGCTTGGTATGCACAGGGCCTGGCTTCAATCCTCAGCACCCAAGCCCCCACCCCCCATCCCCTGACTCTAAATGTGTTATGTAGTGGCCTTTTCTACTTTGTGGGGTTTTTGTTTGTTTTTTCGAGACAGGGTTTCTCTGTGTACTCCTGGCTGTCCTGGAATTCACTCTGTAGACCAGGCTGGCCTCAAACTCAGAAATCTGCCTGCCTCTCCCTCCCAAGTGCTGGGATTAAAGGCGTGCACCACCACTGCCCAGCAACTTTGTGGGTTTTTCTTCCTACCCTTTATCCCCCCCACCCCAGTTTCATCCCTATCACTAGATAGGAGAGAAAGAAGGATAGAGCAGGGAAAGAGATACATGAATCTAATTTCTTTCCTCTTAGAGCATGACTACTAACAAACTGCAACCAACCCTCCTGAGTGACCAACAGCCACCACTCCTACCTCTCGGGCTCTAGAATTTATATACCTCCTGAAAAATTCCCAGAATTCCAAACATCACACAATCGCAGAAACTATCTGCAGCTGGCAAAACCACACCTCTGCTAGAGCACGAGGCAAATCATAGCTGCTGCCACGCAGCCCAATATCCTCACAGCTGGGATTAAAACAAAAACATACATTTCTGTGTTTTTTAAAGAAACCAAAATTCCAGAATTCTCACTACAGTGTTAAGTTTATATATACCATTTTTGGCTGGGCGGTGGTGGCGCATGCCTTTAATTCCAGCACTTGGGAGACAGAAGCAGGCAGATTTCTGAGTTCGAGGCCAGTCTGGTCTACAGAGTAAGTTCCAGGACAACCAGGGCTGTACAGAGAAACCCTGTCTCGAAACCTCTGTCCCCCCTCCCCCCAAAAAAACCCCTTTTGTTTTTAAGTGGAGGGAGGGAGAGATGAGGATGGAACCTTGAGGTTTAGGCGCATGCAAGATAAGTGCTCAACCACTGAGCCACCCTCTTCTACGATTTTCTTTCTTTCTTTTTTTGTTTTTTCGAGACAGGGTTTCTCTGTATAGCCCTGGCTGTCCTGGAACTCACTCTGTAGACCAGGCTGGCCCTGAACTCAGAAATCCACCTGCCTCTGCCTCCCAAGTGCTGGGATTAAAGGTGTGTGCCACCACTGCCCGGCTCATGATTTTCATCAAAAGGAAAAATAAGGATTTGTTCAAGATGACTTAAATCCTGGGATTCGAGCACTCCTGCCTCCCCCATACATCATACGCCGCTGTCCCAGAGCCTTGCAGAGCACATTATAAGTGTGTCCAGCCTCTCATGGTCAGGCTAGAGCTGAGGGACAGTCTGCCTGATGACAAGAGGACACCTAGCAATGGCTCCCCCGGGGCTCACTTCTCATCTCCTGTAGCCTCTGGCTTGCAAGCTCAAGATCCCAGACCCATGAAATTCAGCTCACTGAGGAGCCTGAAGCCAGTCCTGCATGGAGAAGCCACTGTTAGGGGCTTGGGCTGAGGCTGACCCACCGGTGCTTAAATTCCCTCTCAGCCTCCTTATTTCTGAGTTTCTCCATCTGTAAATGGATAAGAACAGAACCCATTGCATCCTACTGCAGAGAATCAGGCACCTCAGCTGGGTAGAAGCAGAGGCAGGGGCCAACATGGTTTATTATAGGGGTCTCTGCAAATACCAGAGCTGATAACCTTATGGATCTGGGGCGGGGGTGGGGGAGACGACAAGGAAATCCAGTTAAAAACAACTTCATAGCCAGTAGAAAGGTGTGCAGAACAACTGTCCATGGAATCCACAGCTGGCAGAAAAATTGTTTTACTTCCCTCAGCTGTTTCTTACTTTCCCGCTATATAGTAATAAAAGACCATGTCATCCCTTTCCCATAGCGAGAAGCAGGTTTTTCAGATGCAAAGGCAGATGTTAACACCTCACCTGCAGGGCTAGGATCTCCCAGGCATTCCAGAGCAACAGGTCCATGGCCTTACCAGATGCCTGGCTCCACATTCCGTTTCTTTAGTCATCACAGGGGTTGTGTGTGAACAGTCACTCAGGTCTGAGTGCTTGGAAGACTGGGATAGCATGGTTCATTTCTGGGCAGGCAACACCCCAGGGTCACCAGGTCAGGGCTGGCTGTCGTGTCCTCACAGATTCTAGCTGGGTGGTGGGGGCAAACGCCTTTAATCCCAGCACTCAGGAGGCAGAGGCGGGTGGTTCTCCAAGTTCGAGGCCAGGTCTGGTCTACAGAGTGAGTTCTAGGATAGCCAGGACTACTCAGAAAATCCTGTCTCAAAAAGAAAAAAAAAAGAAAAAGAGAG